CGGGCTCGCACTGGCCATGGGGGTGGCAGGCACAGCTCTCCCGGCAGTCGGGGCCCCAGTACTGGCCCGGGCAGCCTTGGGGCAGGAAAGGGAAGGTGGGGAGAGACGGAAGGGGTCAGCGGGCTCAGGCCTCGGACAAACGCAGGCTCTGGACCCCCTCCCAGAACAAAGGAGGGGGCTGGGCCCATCCTCCAAGAGCCAGGAACAGACCCTTGGAACTTGTGGCATCATATCCTCCTGGGGCAAAGCTCACTTCCTGCCCCGGACTCTGAACTACAAAACTTCTTAGCGGTGACCCAGCCTCCCATGTCACATTCTAGGACACACTTAGAGATCCTGGGAGGGAAAGGGGCTTTGCTCACAGCACACAGAAGTGTGTGGGGGGGAGGGCGCGGGGGTGGGGCGGGGGCGGAGACTTCATCCATGCCCCCTCCTCCCTCCCATCGGGTCCTCCACTGGGCTGACAGCTGGGCCTCGCAGGCCTGGGTGCTGCCATCAGGGTCGCAGGAGAAGCCCGTTTCCTCCCGTGTCTCCTCTCCATCCTGATTCCTGAATCCTGATGGCTGCCCCTGGCTGTCCTGTTCCCATCCATGCCCTTCTTTTCTGCCAGGAGGACAGACATCCTGGCCAGGGCCCTCCTTCCACCCTCCATGCATGTGCAGGTATACAGTACGTGGGGGAGACTGAGAATGCATCCATCTTGCAATGAACGGAACCACCAGTACCCTTTCTGAGTTGAAAGGTGAAGGGCCCAGAACTGCAGCTGTGAGCAGGTAGGGCTCTGTGGATCTGGGCAAAACCCAGATGACTCAGGGCATCTCCCAGGAGCGTCACTTCCTGTCCCTGGGCCTCAATTTCCTCAGTGAAGACTGGAGAGGTTCTGGCCCTGCTGCTCCAAGATGTCCGTCCTACCTGCTTTGTCTCCTCGCTCTCCTAGTTCTGCCCAGCAAGGTCATCCCCCAGGCGTGACTTAGGACTCACGGGAGTTGCACTGGGCCCCGAAGAAGCCAGGTTTGCATCGACAGAGGCCTGGCTTCACGCATACTTCGTCTTCCCGGCAGGCATCGGGTCCCTCACAGATGGCTGAAAAACACCCACGAGGTCAGAAGGACTGGGGCTTGACCAGGGGACACTCAGCCCCCTCACTGGCTCCCAGTTCCCTGACCCTCAAGAGCTGCTCCCTCAGGGTTGGGTGTGTGTGTCCTAGGACGGACGCCAGCTCCAGGGCTCAGGAGGGGAAATCGGCCCCCAGAAGGGTAGGAAGGTCACTGAGCTGTGTCCTCCCTTCTCTTGGGGTGGGGGTTGGTCCTGGCTACTCACCAATGGTGCATTCTCGATCCTTCTGCCTCCAGCCTGGGCAGCACTGGAGCTCAGCAGAGGGGCTGCGGGGCAGAGAGGGGTCAGCCGGAGGGAGGTTAGGAAGGGTGGTGGCCTGGTTTCAAAGGTGGATCACTGCCTCTGGCTGACATGTGGGAGCTGCCTCAGCCCCATCAGGCAGGCCTGGCCGAGTCACAGCCCACTGACCCCAACCCCTTCCCTCTCCTCCTCTGGCCTTCCCACCATCTGTCCTGAAGATCCACCACCCTCCAGGCTGTCCCCAAGCCTCCCTCCCTTCAGCCCCATGATCTCTTCCCTCACTACCCGCCCCAAGCCTCAGCACCAGTTCAGCCACCGCCCCCATCAGCCTCCCACAAGAGCCACCTGTTGTCCACGCAGACATGCCGCCCATTAGGGTCCAGCTCAGACCCCTGGGTCCTCTGAGTCCAGAGCAGTAGCAGTGGGAGCAGCAGCCGCAGGCCCATGGCGGTCAGTGCAGTGAGAGGGTTTGAGTGAGCCTGGCCCCCACAGCCCCAACCCCCTCCCTGTTTCCTCCCAAGGCTTTTCCTGAGGAAACCAGGCCTAGGGGGTGGTGGTGGGCGGGCTGCCATGAGGCACCTCCCTGAGGGTGGGCAGGCCCAATCACTAGTGCCGAGTGGGGCCTGAAGGGGCTGGTTTCAGTCTGGAGGGGGCAGGAAGATGAAACTGGAAGTCCTGGGGTATTGGGAACAGGCGAGGGAGTGGGGTGAGGGGGGAGCCAGAGTTTTCCATTAGGTCATACTTCCCAGCTGGGAGAAGCCTCCCCACCCACTGACGACCGGGGAAACCCTGTGAGACAACCTCAGCCTGCCTTCACCCCTGGCAAAGCAGGGCGGGAAGGGGGGCTGACCACAGACAGACAGACGGGGAACAGTTTGTGGGTATCACGGGCAGTTCCTTTATTACATTAGCTTAGGCCATCTGTGCAAATCTCTGGGAGGTAGGTAGTCAGCTCTCCATTTCACGGATGGGGAAACTGAGGCTCAGAGAGGAAGCACTTTTATCTGACCCCGGAGGCTTCACTCGGAGATCTAGGGAAGGAAGGTAGGCTGGACTCCCAGTCGTGCCCTGGCTCAGGCCAAGACTGGGAAAGAGCCTGGGAGGGCTGGGCAGGAGGGAGCCCTGTCCTCATTTGAGGTCACATCCACCCACAGTCAGACTCCAAGGTCAGGCGCCTGGGGCACCTGAGACCCCGAGACAAAGATGTTCATCGAGAGCAAAGCAGGGCCGGTCAGGGGCTGCCCACAGGCTCCACGTGGGATTGCTGAGGGGCCTCCTCTTCTCGCTCGCTGGCAGCTGTGCTGCTGGTCTTGGCTTCAAGGGCTTCTGCTTCACCTCGATAACACTGGCCAAAGCTGCGGGGAGAACCCAGAGGTACTTTGAGCCTGGATGCCAGAGAGATCAAGGATGTGGGCTGAGGACGGGGACGGTGAGAACGGGGGATATAATAAGAAGAAAGGGCAGCAGGAGATGAAAGGGACAGGGTCAGAGAAGCAGGAAGGGAGAGGCGCGCTTAGAGCTCAGGACAGCAGGGTGGGCATCGGGGGAGTAGGAAAGGGGATGCTGAAAAGAACCAAGGTGGGGCCTCTTCCTCTCCCCGCAACATACAAACTCTGTATTCTGGAGTCAGGGGGTGGGGGGTGGTCTTCCTTATCGCTGGAGAGCAGGAGCCATGAGCCATCCTCATCGTCACTGAGGCAGAGGAGAGAGGAAAGAGGTGAGGGTCATTTATCAATGCCAGGAGGGACAATGGGAGTGCAGCTATGGTCAGCCTTCTGTGTGGCCCCCAGGAGCAAGCAGGGGAAAACAGGGTGACAACAGGGCCCCCAAAGCTGGAGAGGAGACACTGGGGAGATGAAGGACATCTTGAAACTTTTATTTTATAGGCAGATGGACAGCAGACCTCTGACAAGGCTGCAGCTATAGTCTTTATTTTTTACTTACTAGATTACTGATTTATTATAAAAGGTTATAACTCAGTAATAGCCAGATGGAAGAAGCATCTTTCCACCCTGCTGTCCTGAGCTCTTAAGTGCACCCAGAGCTCTCAGGACCAAGGTATGGGGAAAGGGCACAGGGCTGCCGTGCCCTCTGCAGGCCCACCATGAGTCCTGCATCTCCATGTGTCCACCAGCCCAGAAGCTCTTTGAACCCAGGACTTTTGGCTTTCTATGAAGGTCTCCACAGCTACCGTCTCACTCCTCTGAGAACCAGCAGATGCAGCCAGGACAGGGACCCGAAGAATGAATGTGGAGAAACAGCATTAGCAGGGT